CTCTGGAGTGAGCCTCAGGCCGGCCCGCATTTCTGAATTTTTAAAGTGCTTTTCATCTTTTATTTCATATCTCGATGCCATTGTTAGGACAAATGTCACCCCTGTTTTACAAATAAGAAGAAATTAAGGCATAGAATATAAACATTTTATTTACCACCGTGCCTGAATTTAAATGTTCAAGTGCAGATTATAGACATGAACGTAAATGTTTCATCCTTTATTGAAACATTAGGAGGTGAAACAGATAATGCATATAAATTGCGATATAGTTTCTACAGCACCACACTTTGCTGTCACAAACATTACTCCAACTGTGCCTTACTACAGTTATGAGAGGAGTGGGCAGATGACATCTATACAGGGAAGAAAGTGTCAGAGATTGAGTGACTTGCTCCAGAGGTGTGGCATTAAGGGGTGAGATCAGAATTCCAACCAAGCATGTAATTATATCTAATGAAACTCTTTCCCCTCCTCTCTTAACCGGCATCAGGGGCAGCGCTAGGCAGTGTTAGGATCACCCCCAGGTTTCAGTCAGAATGCTTCCTTCTTGTTTTCACCCTTCATCCTCTCCTGGAGTTGGAGCTCTCTAGGACAGCACACATTTCTCAGAGTTAGGGACCCCTGGGTCTCCAGAGTTCTTGAAGATTCTCTTGGCTGCTTGTGTGCTTAATTTAGGGCATAGCTTCCCTTACTTCTGTGTATCACACTAATGGCTGAAGAAATACCCTTTAGTTTTGTTTCCTTCTTTCCTTAACCCTGTGGCTTCCCACATTTCAGAAGGAAAAATGGTCTGTTAGATAGAATGAAAATAAACTTATTAGACAAGTTATGTGAAAGAAAACATCTTTAATCTAGTTAAGATAATAGTCTTAACCTATTAAAAATGGTTTATAACAGTAACAGTTGTCAGAATTTTGGCAAGAGTAGGGCAGTTAGACCTGAGAAGTATTGCAAACAAAACGAACAATTTCGGGTTTTTAGTTTTGGCCTTGCTGTTCACAGTGTGTGATGGTGGAGAAGATCCCCAGCTTCTCTGGTTCCCCAAATGGTGACATCAGACTCCACAAGGCCTCCCAGTTCAGACACTTGTCTCAGCCAGGAAAGCAAATCTGATTGTCCCTGGTTTAATCAGTCTCTAGTTGTTAACAGTTGGCATAACCTTCCCAGTAATGGGTGGACAGCTTCTCTAAGGAGTGTCCTTACGGAGGAAATAACTGGCACCTCCAATAGGCCCTTGAAAAATCACAGCCTAATCCTTTCTCCTAGGACCCTACCCTGTGAAGAAAGCCAGGCCACGAAGGGGCTGTAGTTAAGGCCAGCCACGAAACTGCCTGGTGGCAGGGCTGGGAATAGAGCCTGGCCACTGGTGCCCAGGCCACTGTTCCTGCCCTAAGCTGGCCAGCCTCCCTGGGTATACAAAGACTTGCTTTCCATATGTGTACTTAGCACAACCAGAGGGACAAGTTTGTCACTGAGCTGATCTTGAAGAACACATTTTGCCTTTTGCTTTTAATTGAAGGAATTTAAAACCTGTCGGGATACTTTTGACAGAGCCCCAGGGCTAATATTTTTCATTATTTCAGAAGTAAAAGGACCACTTCTCATGAAGGTCTGTTCTATGTTATAGATTGCAACAGAGGCAATAGAAAATATCAGGACAGTTGTGTCTTTGACCCAGGAAAGAAAATTTGAATCAATGTATGTCGAAAAATTGTATGGGCCTTACAGGTAATGAACCACATGATTGCTACTACAACCCTAGTGCTTTCCTAAGGCTGAATTACTGTCTCCAAAAGATAATAAAAACGTTGCTGCTCCAAACAATGATATAAGGATGACCTTTTTTTTTGATAATTATCTCTCTAAAAAGTAAGTAGCTTTCTGATGCAACTGGGCCACAGGTTTAGATGTTTATACCTCTTGTAAAACAATAAGATTAGGACGCCAAGAGCTAAAAGTCACAGAGGATTGCACAAGTGTGCAGGCACAATCATTAGTGCAGGCAACATAAATAACACACCTGGCTGATTCAGGATAAACATTCTCTTAAGGAATTGCTCAAATCTCATTTTCTTGGGAGTGCAGACTGAGCCAAAGATGAGACTTGTTATTTGGTATATTCCAGACTTGCTTTTTGACATATTCCATTTGTTCTCTGAACAAGATCCAACCTACTCTGAAGACGAAGACACATAGCGTGTTTCACTGGTTCACATTTGAGCAATTCAACAAACCCTTAGGGGAACTATTTGCCCCTTGTTTCCATTATGGCCTTTATGAATGAATATATTTTCACGTTAACAAAATGGAATACAACTTAGATCACAACTTTATAGACTGGAACAATAGTTTTGAACACTTGCAGATTTGAACAAGGATCCTAGACATTCTCAATTTATTCCATCTCAGTTTTGTTTACTTCATTTATACTAAAGAGCATGCTGCTGCATTTTTCTGCCCATTTGATGTTTGACATATAAATGTTTATGCACCATTTCCTATGACATTATGGTTTATTTGGAACTTCAAAGAGATTTAAGGAAGAATAGATAGCTGAAGGTAATTATTAATTTGGTTATAATTTAAAGATTCAATAGCACTGTAAATGCTATTAAGTATTATATGCTATGAAGTATTATAATACCATGCTCATAGCATATGAGTTCTGTCATCAAAACCAGTAATACTTTGAATTTTTCTTCTTGCCAAATGCCTTTCTTCTAATATAATAGTAAATAAACTATGGTTCTTTTGAAGGATTTAGAAGCCCAATATTGTATAGCATGAGGTCTAATTAGAAATAGTGCCAAACAAATTGTAAATGGGACCAGTTGGATCTGGCTTGGGGATGGACTTCTGGAGTGTTTCTGTATAAACTTCAGTGACCCAACTTTTGCGAATCTGAGACATGAATTTTGATGTAAGAGACTGCAACTAGTTACAGGAGACAAGATAAAATAGTATTAAAGAAATCACATTCAGATAATTCAACTAGTTCTAACTTTGACATCCTAGGTATTTTTGACAACCACCACCACATTTATATAATGGGGGTGGAATATCTGATTCATCAGATATTAACGTGTAATAATAATATCATTTGAGCAACCAATATGAGCTAGCTAGGCACTATGCTAGACATTTATATTGTTTTATTTAGTTCTCAAAACAATTATGCATTATGCTGATCATCTCCACTGTACAAATCAGAAAAATGATGCTTACAAGTTAAGTCATTTATCCAAACTAATATAACCAGAGGCAGAATTTAAACCCAGGTTAGCCAGACTTAGAAGCTGTGCTCTTTCCACTACACAGTGCTAAGGGAGGCTGAAGAGATTATTTTTAATATACTAACTTGCTTTTCAGGAATTCAGTGCAGAAGGCACACATCTACGGAATTACTTTTAATATCTCACAAGCATTTATGTATTTTTCCTATGCTGGTTGTTTTCGATTTGGTGCCTATCTCATTGTGAATGGATACATGCGCTTCAGAGATGTTATTCTGTAAGTAGCCCTAAAAATATTAAGGTTATTCTATAATAGGGTTTCAGTAGGCTTATGCAAAAGTTTGGAGTAGGAAAAAAAAAAAAAGACTCATTTGTTCAAAGATGAGGTCAGGGAGTTAAATTTACCATAGTCTTCATGGTGGCAAGCACAGAAATCTGATCTTGTCAATACTCCAAGTGCAAGTTAATCATCTGCGTGGACTAAAATTAACGAACCTCATTAAAATGACCATAAAGTGTAATTTTAGTTATTTTTATAACTCCATTCAGGAAGACAGCAGATTTTCTCATTGTAGAATGTAGGCAGAAATAAATCATATTAGAAAGTTGCTGGTGACCATGGACTTGAGATATTAGCTTGCCATTTATCTGTAACCAAAACATGGCCTTGACCCTGAGATGGGAATGCTTGACTCAAGTCTGCAAAGGCACTGTCCGCTAATCAGGCCTCAGATTGCCCTGCCAGCATTTGCCTCTCAGCCTCTCCTTTTTTCTTGGTTTCCAAGGCTAACCAATGGCCTTTCTGATTGATGCATTCTTCTTTTCAAAATATGCAAAATACATTCATTATTCTTTATTATATCTTTTTTATTTCTTAGCTGCCACTTATGAGTGAGGACATGTGATATTTCTCTTTCTGTGCCTGTCCTATTTCACTTAACATTTCACTTAGGTTGCTGTCTAGGCTTGAAAGAGGGAAGCCAGTATTTTTAACATCATTTGGCATGTTTCTGCTCTTGGGATGATTTTAAAGCAATAGTGAATGACCTTTTTTGAAACAGGGTCAAGATAAGAAAAATGAAAGTGATTAAGAGCTATTTTTTTGTTTTCATCCAAATTAAAATAACCATGGAAAAAAATGTATACACATAATCTTCATATCAATCAGGATCTCAGCAGGAAACAAATGGCACTGCAAATTTGCTAAAGGATCTATTTACAAAGGCTTAGGAAGTTAAGGTAAGCAGTACCCTGGAGAGCAGTTAACATCCCAGCAGTAGCCACTAGGAGCTGCAACAACACAAGCAATCTGACAAGAAAGAAGCCAAAGAAATGAACACCCTGACCTCCCTCTGCTCCAGCCCTCCTATCCTCCATTGTCATGGGCCAGAGGATAAGAAAATCTTTTAATGCAGTTCACGAATGTCAGCCTCCCAGGGCATGGAGTGAGATGGTACAAGGTAGAGATGAGTAGAGAACGGAAAGTGCTTTTGGAGGGACAAATGGAAACAGCAGCTGGGAATTACAACTTAGAGTACAACTTTTTTTATTGTCTAGAAAAATATCATTGAGAAAGTTAGCCCTGCTTTTTTTTTTTTTTTTTTAATCATTGAAATGTTAAATTCTGGATAATTAGGAGACAGATTTTTAATCTTTTGTTCTAAAACTAGATAACAGCTTGTACAGGGAAGCAGCCACATGGGGGTGGTTCATCACTATTTTTAAACAATTTTTTTTTAGTTCATGTCTTTTTTTTTTTTTGGTAACTGGCCAATAAAGGGATTCAAACCCTTGACCTTGGTGTTATCAGCACCACGCTCTAACCAACTGAGCTAACCAGGCAGCCCCTCATGTCTTTTATTAACTCAGACACAACTACATATATTCTGGTTTGTGGAAGCAATGTCAGACAACATTTGCCATAATAATGTCTGTCAAAGTGACCGGCCATAAAAACTCCAGCACTGCATTCATCTGAAGGGCACTCCCAACAAGGCAACTAATTTTGCCATTCTCATCCACCTTAGAGAATTTCAAAACAGCCAGCTTAACCTTCTTTCTCTTATGCTTATTCTTGGGAGTGGTGTAAGACTTCTTCCTTTTCTTAGCACTGCCATGAAGTCTCATCACAAGATGAAGCACGGGCCCCTTCTGAATGTTGCAGTCAGACAAAGTACGTCCATCTTCCAGTTGCTTGCCAGCAAAGATCAGTCTTGGCTGATCAGGAGGAATTCCTCCTTTCTCCTGGATCTTGGTCCCTATGTTTTCTACTGTATCTGGGGGTTCAGAATGATTGTCTTCCCAGCAAGGGTTTTTACTAAAATCTACATCTTGGTGGTGATTCCACCACAAATGGCAGATATGGAAGCTAAAACTTAATATTTTTTTTGGCAGCTGGCTGGTATGGGGAACCAAACCCTTGACCTTCGTGTTATAAGGCCATGCTCTAACCAACTGAGCTAACAGGGCAGCCCTAAAATTTACTTTTTGATAATTAACCTTATCATCAACTATTTAAGGGAGAGCCTTACTACACCACCATCCCCACCCCCACAGACTAGAAACAGATATTTCCCCCCTTTTTATCTATTTTTTATTGTAACACAGTTGATTGTACATGTAATTGTTTTTCATGTCCCTTTCCCAATTCATCCCTTACCCTTCCCTCCCCCTTTCCCACCTCTGGTGACCTCAGTTCTTTTCTCTCCTTTTGAAAATTCAATGTAGTATTGTGATTGTTGTATCTTTCTTTTTTATTTCTTAGCTCCCACTTATGAGTGAGAACATATGATATTTCTCTTTCTGTGCCTTATTTCACTTAACATGATTTTCTCTAAGTTCATCTATGTTACCTGAATGGCAGTACTTCATTCTTTTTTATGGCAGAGTAGTATTCCATTGTGAATATATACCACATTTACTTCATCCAGTTGTCCGACGATAGACATTCAGATTGGTTCCAACTCTTGACTATTGTAAATAGAGCTGCAATAAACATGGGGGTGCAGGTATCCCTTTGACATAATGATTTCCATTCCTTTGGGTATATACCCAGCAGCAGAATTGCTGGATAGTATCGTAGTTCTATCCATAGTTGTTGAGGAACCTCCATACTGTTTTTCATATTGGCTGTACCAATTTACAGTCGCACCAACAATGTAGGAAGGTTCCCTTTTCTCTGCATCCTCACCAGCATTTTAGAAACACATTTTAATATCTTAGATTTAGAAGTTCATGAGTTGAAAACAACAACAACAAAATTCTCCATTATTATTAGAGATTCCCCCCCCCCCCGACCCCCAACCCTACCCTCTTCCCCTCTTTCTCTGGGAAAGCTCTAGTGTCAGAAGTGAATTGCTTTGTGGAGATGTAGATCTCAGGATCTTTAGCCCTTCCTAAAAGTTGTTAGAATCAATATCCACTTTTTTTTCCTTTTTTTGGTGGCTGGCCAGTACAGGAATCCAAACTCATGACCTTGGAGTGGTAAGGCTGCACTCTAATCAACTGAGCTAACCAGCCAGCTTCAGTATGTATTTTTTAAAAAGCATTGTCAAAGGACAAAATAACAGCAAATTTAGTTAAAGATCTCAATTGGCTTTACTGAGATTCTAGAATCGGGTAACACTTCATTCCATAAAATAGAATAAGAGTTCCAATGAGCTGAGCAGAGGAGGTTGGTTAGTAGAAACAAAGAACAAAAAGCAGATTGGTCATTTCAAAGAAAATTTCCTTATAAGGTGGGGATGGGGGACAGAACAATAGAAAAATAACTGATTATTTAACATCAGGTTACTTCAGGTTACTTTTGTGTAAGAATTAAAACAGAGGAACTTCATTATTGTTATGCCTACTGAAGACTTAAACTGGTCTGTTGGGGAAATTGGCTGTTATCGCTCTCTCTCCTGATTTTTGGGAAGGTCAGATTACAACTTAGTATGGGTTTGGTGATGTGGAACTTTTAGCATGGGTGACTCAAAATGGATCACCCCTGCTAGGTCTGTTGGGGTCTGGTGCAGGAACTTAGTCCAAAACAGCCTCCTATAATTTTTATTTAACAGCATATAATTAGAAAATAGACCTTTAGTTTTAGAGAAGTGTTTTTTTTAGGGCAGTGTCAGTATTTTAATTGCAAAAGAAAAGCTATTTCTAGTAAAGGCTTATTGTCCCTAATAAAAATTTTTTAGCTGCAGTAATGATTATTATTATTTGGGTGGTAATATAGAAGAAATCACAAACTGGAAGTCAGGGCCATAGATTTATTTTTTATTTTTATTTTTTTTTTCCTTTAAATTTTTATTTTGTCAATATACAATGTGGTTGATTATTATGGCCCATCACCAATTCCTCCCTCCCTCCTCCTACT